TAACTATCATTTTGACTCATTTAATTTATGCGTTATTCACTACTTTCTTTCAAAAAATTGATCAACTTCCTTACAACGTATTTATGTCCCTTTTAAACTGCATAATAAAAGATATCCCAAGAATATCATTGCTTACAATCATGGACTCGGCGCTGGGGACGTTTATGAATGACGAATTACCCTTGTGTAACACGCGAAAGGAATGCTCATTGTCTGCCATTTTTACCAGGGGTGCTTGTCCGGATCCGTTTAAAACTCTAAGATGTACTTCAGAACCGTCTTACTGCGCCACATGAGGCGTCTATATCAATCTTACGTTAAAGTGAACATATTTCATAAATCCGGCACTCAACGCAAAAGTGCATTTCCTTCAAATAATACACTGCAACAGTAAACGCGAGAATGTTCTCCACGACAAGTTAAATGGAAAACTTCTCGGTACATACATACACCGAGTATGTACCGTTATATTCGTGATTTGAAATCAAATTTTTGATGATGGAGAGTATACAGGGTGTACCAAAAGTCCGTCCCACCCCTGCTAACTTTTGAACGAATTGAGCTAGGGTAATGAAACTTTGGGAATGTTCCTATCTTTTGGGGGGGTCAAAATTTTGGTCCACCCTCAGGGGCGGAGCGGGGGCCCCCAACTTTTTTTTTCAAATGACAACCCTTATCTTGTGATACATCATTCGAAAGAGCATAAAAAACTAAGAATTTTGGCGCAAACCGCAGATCAATATCTTAATTTTTGACCGAGTTATGATAGGTCAAAGGTCAAATTTGACCTTTTTTCAAAAAATCATAACTCCGGTTCAAATTATCGTAAAGAAAAAAATAAAACGGGAAAATTTACCTAATTGTGTCCGCTTTTAAGTAAAAATTGCAGAAATCACTTTGCTGTAATTTTAAGGGGGGGGGGGGCTCGGACCCCCAAATACGTCAATTCAAAGGTCATTCAATTTTCCCGCGAAAAAAGGCAATTTCCCCTAGATTTGCCTCCACATTATCTCAGTAAGGTCAAAATCAGTTCAACATTACGTTGGCAAGTCCCCAAATTTCGGGAAAACTTAAAAAAAAAACGAAATTTAAACGGTCAAATTTAATCACCTTAAATTTCGTTTTTTTTTAAACTTTTTCCGAAATTTGAGGACTTGCCAACGTAATGTTGAACTAATTTTGACCTTACTGAGATAATGTGGAGGCAAATCTAGGAAAAAGGGCCTTTTTTCGCGGGAAAATTGAATGACCTTTGAATTGACGTATTTGGGGGTCCGAGCCCCCCCTTAAAATTACAGCAAAGTGATTTCTGCAATTTTTACTTAAAAGCGGACACAATTAGGTAAATTTTCCCGTTTTATTTTTTTCTTTACGATAATTTGAACCGGAGTTATGATTTTTTGAAAATAGGTCAAATTTGACCTTTGACCTATCATAACTCGGTCAAAAATTAAGATATTGATCTGCGGTTTGCGCCAAAATTCTTAGTTTTTTATGCTCTTTCGAATGAGGTATCACAAGATAGGGGTTGCCATTTGAAAAAAAAAGTTGGGGGTCTGGCCCCCCCCTGAGGGGGAACCAAAATTTTGACCCCCCCCCCCCAAAAAGATGGTCCCCTTTGAGATAGGAACATTCCCACAGTTTCATTACCCTAGCTCAATTCGTTCATAAGTTAGCAGGGGTGGGACGGACTTTTGGTACACCCTGTATAATCCTGTAACTAAATTTTACTTTGTCCTGTAGTCCGTTCAAACGTTAATGACTGCAACCATGCACTTTCGATATGTCTCCTTATAATTGATGGTGAATTGGAACATGCAATAGGTAATTGATTTCTCCGGCAAAGCATAGAAATTTCACTAAAAATGTTTAATATTAAAGTTCAATAAAATTTTGTATTTAAACCGATGAGATTTATCTTCTGACAGGGTATGCGATAGCATTAAAGTGGCTGTGCTCATGGGTGCGTTTTATTCGAGCAGATCCGTCGTTTAAAAGTTCCTTCTAATGGATGCAATGCATCTTCTCAAACATTTGACGTCACCCTTATAAAATACCGCCGACTCTTTTCATGTGAAACGTTCAGGTTTGGGACTCGGACCTCCCCGATTTCGTCCTGTTTTTGGGTCCAAAATTGGCATATCACTTGAAAAAACTAATTGTTTCAGGGAGTTTCAACTAAAAATTTCATGGGAACAAGTGTTAAAAAACTTTTGAAAGATGTAGGTACCGCTGTTGTTCTTATTTTTTTGTTTTTTTAAGAGTAGGGGGCTTTGCATCCTGGCCGCTCCGCAGCCCGACCCCCTCGCCTATTCTGTCATTTTAAGATTAAAGCGTCATTAATTTGTTTTATACATTATTTAAAAATTTACCTGCAGAAATTGCATAATTTGGTCAATTTTGATTACGTTTGTATGTTTTTAAATGTCTTTAACATATGAGGTTACTTTATGGTTTTTATATTCATTCAAATGTGTTTGACGTACTTGGTGAGTCTGATGTGTTTGTTGTGTTTGATGTATTGGTGTTGTTTCTCGATGTTTTATTCCGAAAAGATGTGGTTCTCTCCAACTTCCAATCTCATGCTAAGAACATGAGCTTTAGTGCAATAATACCATAAGAAATAATGCAATTGACTTACAGAAACACACGTCGTTTAATGACAAAAACTGAAATGACAAATAGCAAAGACGACAGACTGAAGATATCTTGACTCAAAAAAGATCATGAGGTAGGAAATGTACGAAACAAAGACAACCCAAAAAACACAAAAGCCCCCACTCCAATACAAGTTGGCGCAGCATCGTCAAGCGTCAGCTGTTTTAAAGTTTTGTTTTTTTCAGTTCCCTCTTTGGATCTCTTTTTCTTGTTCAGTTCTGGCTGCAACCTCGTAAGATAAAGGAATATGAAAACGTCCCTTGCAGTGTTCTTTTTCTTTCCTTAAACGTAGATGTCAAAAATTAACAAGTGGTTAATTTTCGAGGGGGCGTTTTAGAGCAGCATCGTCAAGCGTCAACTGTTTTAAAGTTTTGTTACTTGGATATCTTTTTCTAGTTCAGTTCTGTCTGCAACCTCACAAGATAAAGGTGTATGAAAATTTCTCTCGCATAGTGTTCTTTTTCTTTCCCTATTACCTTTAATACATACTGAAAATATGCTCAAAACTGCATTTCTATATGGTAACGGTTTGTGGTGAGACGTATTTTGTTTGGCGTAACAATCGAAACTGTTTCGCATCAGTGTGTAACATTCGTATTTTGTTTGAGTGTTACCGGAAATGAGGGGGCGTGGCTTATTTAATTGGATTTTTTTTGCACAACATGGCAACGCTGTCGTGACATTTTGATGCGAAACACTTGGAAGGTTGCAGCAGGTTGCAGAATTGTTACGAGGTTTCTAACCTCACTTCTAGCTGCTTTGCTCTCATTGGTTGTGAAAAAGTGACGCAAATAACACAACATCGGTAGCAGGAAACAATTGTTGCGGCAAACAAAATACGTCTGTGATATGTTTGATGTGTTTTTGTGTTTGGTGAGTTTTACGTGTTTGGTGAGTATTACATGTTTGGTGAGTATTACATGTTTGGTGTGTTTTTTGTGTTTGGTGAGTTTGGTGTGCATGATATGTTTGGCTTTGGTGTGTTTAATATGTTTGATGTGTTGAATGTGTTTGATTTGTTGACAATCCTCTGGGGTTGGGCCGCTTGGATGCCAGGTGGGGTAGTCTCGAGGGATTTACATCATTTTATTCAGACTCCTTGCATTTAAAATTTCCCGCGTTTAGCGGATAACGTTTTCTGATTGGTTATAATTTATCAACCAATTGGAAAGACGATAGCGCTGTACACACAAAAAAGGCCTTAGCTTTCTTTGTAGTTAGAAAAAGAAAATAAAAAGAAAGAAAGATGAAAGAAAGAAGATACGAAAGAAGAAGATAAAGATAAGAAGGAAGATAAAGATAAGAGAGAAGAAAAAGATAAGAAAGAAAATAAAGATAAGAAAGAAGATGAAGATGAAAAAGAAGATGAAATAAGATAAGAACAACGGGAGCACGAAAAATAATGCTTTTCGTACGTATAAAGGAAGTAGAGAACACATACTAAATTGGTGAATAACTGAACAAGAGTTTATTGTAAAAGACTACAGGTGTATATGTTGTTTGACTGGGTTGTGAAAAAATCGGTGATCACTCGTAGTGCACGCGACTGCCAGCGTTATAAATCAGTGGAGATTGCAACAACACAGCCCAACTTGATGGAGGCATGGCCGTTCTCCGAAAATCCGTGCTCTGCAGCGTCTGCTACAGTCTTTAATAAGACCTTACGCCTACCGTTGGCTATCAGACGGTTGCTGAACCTTGCGGGAATAGAGAGGATACACGATGTGTCAATAGTACGAAGTTAAGGAGCACGATCCAACTTCGAGGTGTGCGACGGCAGGGTTCCTGCAGGTTGCCTCGGCCCCTTGAGGGCGCCTCGCCGGTCAGCCCGGCCCTTACTTGCGACTTACTTACAGGTGTATTTTATACAGGTATGGATAGGCGTTGCCCTCGCCTATGTGCGTCAGCAAGCAAGGTAACACGCTCGCGTCCTGGCCGTAGAGAACTTAAACAAAAACACTAGTTACACGTCCATTGACGTCACCCGAGACTTAGACTTCATGTCACCACAGAAAATGGGCAGTATTTTTTTAGGATCTTTCTCATAATTTAACCATTTTACTCTCTCAAGTAGGTTCCGCAAACCTTTTTATGATCAATTCTTTTAAGAGCTTATAAAAAGGGCGTTTTAACGATCGTTGTTGCGGATTAGTTGCAGGGGCTATCATATCTCGTGGTTCCTTGCCTCTACGGAGGAGACCCATTTAAAGGAGATTTTTTTCTTTTTAAAGTTTTAAATTCGACTGTTACTTCTCTTTGAACGAGGCTTATGTAGAACGCTTCATCAAGCTAAGGAAATGTTTTCATGATTGTGTTTGACAGGTTTTTTGTTTTTGTTTCAGGTATGTAAAGGTTGTACAAATCCCCACAAATGTGACTGTGATGGGATCAAAGGAGAGTCTGGAGATGTGGGAGAGACTGGTTTTCAAGGCCTCGAGGGTTCTCCAGGACCGCCTGGTCCAGACGGTCCTGCCGGGCCTATTGGGCGCAAAGGAGAAATGGGTGACATTGGTGACCCCGGACATCGAGGTTACAGGGTAAGCTTCGACGCCCTATACCTATGTTCTCTACTTCAAGTATTTTAGAATCATATTTCAGCGAGGCAGTTTAGTCAGTGTTCGTGCATAAAGCTCCGATGGACCTACGGAAAAGCTACCGTCCGCCTAAACAGTCCATGAAGTTGAAGCAAAATCCACCGAAAATTACGAGTATAAGAACACGTCAGGAATTCCGCTCATGGTTGGATTTCTGGTGTTATCAATTGAATCCCTACAGACGCAAGTAAAAAGTCTAGTGATATTAGTGGAATCTTTCTATTTTTTCTTTGCCAATCGGTGTGAGTATAGATTCAGGCGATATCAGGAAAGACGTCATTAATGTCATTGTTCCTGCCAATTCACGTGAAAATAGGTTCAGCAAACACCACAGAAGGTTATGCGATGTCTCGTATCTTTGAGATTTTCTATTTATCCGGTTCAATTTATTTTTGAGAATTTGAGGTGAATCTTCAGGTGCAGCTCCGAAAAAATCCACCACGTCACGCTGCTAAAATCCTGCTCCGAAATCAGTGGTTATTTAAATATCACGATAGATATATTAAATTCTAAGACTCATAAGTTCTAGCAGCATACGTCTGGGACGCCTAGAAACAAATGCGAGCTTTGAAAGTTGAACAATAGCTCAAACTTGATCACAGTTTCTCCAATGGGGTATCTGTAAGAGCGAGAGAGACAGCTCACGGTAGGAGAGAGATATCTACAACTGCTGAGAGCGACAGCTCACGGTAGGAGAGAGATATCTGCAACTGCTGAGAGCGATCACTCGCGATTGGTTGCATCAAGGTCATCATGCCTAACAATACTTTTTCTGGGCTCAAGTTTCACAGATTCAGATATTACTTTTCACGTCTTTTTCAGTGTGAATAGGTAGCAGAATGTTATGGCTAGAATTTATGACTCTTCGATTTTAACAGAAATTCCTTTTCCTTTCAAAAAAGCTCAAGGACCCACATGGAGCTGTACGGACTCTGAAAGCTGGGACCAAAAAATGAAAACACAGCGGTGGCGCTCCCTGCGCGGAAAAACTTCTTACTACGCACCGCTGTAGTTTCATCATGAACGTTTTGCTAACGTTTTTGTATCGATGTTGAGGACAGATCCTCTGTTTTTAGTTCCCTCACAATTTCTTCTATATTCCTAACCTAAAATTCTGACCAGCTACATTTCCGCGGGAGGTCCTACCAGTGAGAGTTCGGACAATGCAGTAGTGAGAGAGTTGGGCCTATTGTAAGTAGAATCTCTTTCAAAGTTTTTAATTGAAGTTTGATGGATGCTTACCATAATTATATTACAAGTTCCATTTCTCATTAATGTTTCATTTTTTGTTTTGATCCTTTCAGCGCAAAAAGTTCTCATTAAAATTTAACTTTTTCCTACATTGGAAGTGTTTTCAACTCTATCCCAACCCTACGAGGGGAGGAGGGGGGCATCCCAACTCTTTCAGGGGGGGGGTTGAGAGTTGGGACGATTGTAATTTTATTCTATTTAATTTTTAGTAAAGCTCCTATTCGTCCTATTAAGAGTATTGAGACCATATTTCGCAGAACAAAGCATAAGAGTGCCTACAAAAGAAGAGACTATTTTTTCGTATTGTGATAGTATGAAAATTTTGGGTGCCTCGGGAAAAATATGCACAAAGTCCTAACGCTCCCAAATCTCCCCCAAGAAATGTTATAGCCGGTCATAGATGTATGGTATCCTGGGGCGCAGCTCCTACCCTTAATCTTTACCAGGGATATTAAGAGAACAGTTTGCTCTCGCCTTATAGTTTTGATAACCCCGGTGTTATCATTCTTATCTCATTTTATCTTATATACATAGGCCCATTATTATTGATTATTGATTCAGTAATGTGATCTATATCCATTAGTTCTTGGCTGTGTCTAAAAATCCTTTTTTTTATTTCAGGGCGATGAGGGGTTTAAAGGTCAAAGAGGTCCTGCAGGTTTACCGGTAAGTCTATGAATCCTCCAAGGGGGTACTCCGGTCTTGACAACTTTGGATTTCCCTTCAAGTCCTATCGACTTGAAACTTATGCTTTTGGTAGGTAGGTACATGTAAAACTAAGATTTCCCCAAATTTTCGTCAAGCGGGTTCCATATTCTGCCCCTTAATACACGATTGAGTGAATTTGAAGAGGCATCTGGTGGCAACCATTTCTTGGTCTGAGAGTGAGGTAGAGACCTCCGATTCGGTTACAGTATCAAGAAATTCTCCAGCCTGTTGCTATCTAACAGAGCCGGATTTATAAATTGACTAAAAGTATTTTTTTTTTTTAAATGTTTTAAAAAAAGGTATGATTTTATTCCAAATTTGTTTTGCTTTTTGTTAAAATATTAAATGATCAATGAGCAAAATAACAATTTTGGCTCTGTTAGATTATAGAACATACATTATTGGTCATTTTAAAAAAATCGCAGGTCTCTAGCTCAATCAGGGCCTGAGAAACGGTTGCAAAGAAACAAAAAAACATGCAGAAAACTGAATTTTCAGAAGAGCAATATTAGCAAATTTAGGTAAGTGAAAACCTGCAAGGTGCAAGTATATCACTTTGCAAGGGATCATCCCTTTTATCAAATTTTCTTGAGTTTTTGTGATCATGATAATTAAATTGTGGATACGCCATCCTTTTCAGCCGACTCTTCTCTATAAAATTAGTGAAGAATAAAAAAATGAAAAAAAAAAAAAAATTAGGGCCATTTTTAGACCGGAGTACCCCCTTTTGTTAAATGGTCTTTTAGTTGAACCGAATAGGGTTGGTATTTCAAATTTGCACGCTTTAAACGATAATACATGAATGTAAAATTTGAAGAACCCCACATGTCCATCCACCTTATATATTCAGTAGGTACAGACAAATAACTAGGGGTAGCTATATGCTGTAGTGAGGGACAATATTTCTCGTGTCTCTGATTTTATTCTTCCGTAGGACCTAATAACATGTTTTTCTCCCTTTTTCTTTTTATCGAAGTGAATTTTTTAGGAGGACTAGTAGGAATCTGGTGAATTTGCGTAGTTTTTCAAATTCACAACTAGATTCCTAAATACTGACTGTTTCGTTGACATTTCGTTGATCAGCAAATCCTCCTGATAAAAGTTCTTATATAACATGTTTTTCAAAAAGGTCGATGTTCCGAAATTAGTGGTCTCATGAATGACGACTGTGAGGAACATTATTAAAGAAAAAAATGAGATATCGCGCAATGCTAGGTACTGAAGAATTAACTTAGCTGATCGCATATTTCCAACTTTTTTGTCCGAAAAAGTACCTACAAAAAATACGACTCTCTGAGAGCAAAAAATTAAAGAGAGATATGAGATTTTTTCAAATTCATCCTCATTTAAACATCAATACCATCCTTCAATTATCAACGAGGGACTTGCCCATCGAAGAACATACTTAGTCGGGAACTTCTTCGTTCAAATTAAAATGCAGTTTTAATGTATTTCTTGTGCAATTTTAATGCATGTAGTTCAACAGAATTAATCGAATCCATCTGTTTTGTCCTATACCTAGTCCCTACAGAATCAAGGGAAGCTCTGACTGTGCGAGAATGTGGTTTATCAATGTACAATGTGGCGTGTCATTTACAGTCATTACAGTCTTCTTTAAATTCCCACAACAAACTGCATTACCAATACTTACAGGGGATTTGCTCAGACGAAACTGCAGAATTTTAAAAGTTATTAACTTTATCTCTCTTATACTGGTCTTTGAAGTTCAGTTCATTAATAATATAATAATAATAAAATAATAGGTATTATAATAAATTTTCATTGAATTTATCTATTATAAATTCAAATTTTCGGCAATACAGATGTTCAACGCACTGCCCTGGAGTGTGAAGCTACTCTTTCGCGATGCTGACCTAACGTCGTTTTTTATGGGGCTGCGTGCTTTCTCATTCGAAAAATTATTCTATGACCTTCAGGAACTTGTAAGCTAGTATAATTTTACACTTGTACCTTATGTATATCACTGTATACAGGGTTTTCCAAAAGTCACTGACCACCCCTGTAACTTTTATCCAAACTGAGATAGAAGTTTGAAACTTTGGCAATGTTCCTCGGTCTAAAGTAGCAACTTTTTGGTCCCCCCTAAATTTTGGGGGGCGGGGGCTAACTTTTTTTTTTCAAATGGCAACCCCCCCTTTGTGATACCTCATTCGAAACATAATAAAAATAGAAAATTTTTGGCGCAAACCACAGGTCAAAATGTTGATTTTTGACAAAATGGCGCCCGGTCAAAGTTCAAAATGGTGAAAATCTGACATCTCCGTTATTTATTGACAGATTGGCGTTAAACTCGGAATCTTAGGGAATTTCGAGACGAGAAAAACGATTCTGGCATTGGTTTTCCAGAAAAGTCGGTCCTTTCCAAAATGGCGGCGGTCAAATGGCGGCCTAGCGCGAGAAGTGGATATTTAGGCTGCTTTTCGTTGAATTTGCATGAAACTCGGTATCCGGGGGTATCTGAAATTCCGACAAATTTCAAAATGGCGGGAAATCAGTTTTACGGCTGTTTACCGATGGATATTCGCATGAAATTAGATATCGATTATTTAGTAATTCAACAATCTAATGAAAGATTCCTTTTTATCCAGCCAAAACCACCAGGATATCGAATTTCTTGCGAATTCATCGGTAAACATCCGTAAAACTAATTTCCCGCCATTTTGAAATTTGTCGGAATTTCAGATGTCCAATGAAAGATTCGTTCTTCTTGCGATTTGCGCCAAAAATTTTCTATTTTTATTATCTTTCGAATGAGGTATCACAAAGGGGGGGGGGTTGCCATTTGAAAAAGAAATTTAGCCCCCGCCCCCCAAAAATTTTTGGGGGACCAAAAAGTTGCAACTTTAGACCGAGAAACATTTCAAACTTCTATCTCAATTTGGAAAAAAGTTACAGGGGTGGTCAGTGACTTTTGGATAACCCTGTATAACTGTTCACCATGTACCGAATATGACGTGTGCCATAGCCTCGGCCAGAGACTCTATTGTACAAATTATAAAATAAATAAATAAATAAATAAATAAAGATAACACGTGAAGAAAGTAATTGCATCGAAGTGCATTTTACATGACATGGCATGACATAACCTGTAACTTTGTGACACATTATTCAAAAGAACACAGACCTTCGATTGTCATAAAGAAGATTTCCTTTCTCTCTCTGGGCAAATTGTAGGCAGCATATTGCTTCTCTTATGCTCCTGATATTTTCATCCACTTTTTTTCATTCAGGGTTTTCCTGGTCCTGCAGGTTTACCGGGACCCAGAGGATTAGATGGTTGCAATGGAACAGATGGAAGACCGGGAGAGTATGGGCCACCTGGAGTGATTGGTCCTCGAGGTTTATCTGGTAAAGATGGTGCGCCGGGCATGCGAGGTGATCCTGGCGAGGGTGGAAGTAACAGTAAAGGCACTAAGGGTGACAGAGGTGATAGCGGTTTCCATGGAAAACAGGTATTAGTTTACTTTTGATTTTTATCGACGGAGAATAGAGAAGTCCAAAAATCTGAATCATGCATGTTGCAAATTGTTAGGGATCTTTAAGTAAATAATTGCTCTAGTATCACAACTAGAGGCATGTTCCCAGTAAAAATGGATTGTTCTCGAAGGACAATTTTGATCTCTTGTTTAATTTTTATTCATTCATTCTAAAGTGCTCAAAGGGACGGAAAAAAATAAAATTTACCAACCTTACAAATTTGTTCGACCTTAGAGTATGGTTCAGTGACCTTTAATGTTTTTAATACGTGTGACATGTTCTGTGGAATGGAGCTTTATTATCTTCCAATAACTCAAATTTGAGTCATTGTTAACGTTACATTGATTAAAATAATTTGAAAATTTCGGTGCAAGGCCCAGAGAGCTCAAAAGTTCAGTAGGATAGAAGTTCTGAAATTCCGAAACAAAGGTTCTTGATTTTTTGATTGATATTAAATTACACAGGTGAGTTAAGGTTCCTCTTCAGAGTTCTTACATGCACACAGAAAAAGAGCAACTAGCGCCTTCTGTTGTGAGAAAATTCAACACAAACTGCACGTAGTTCGTTTCAAAGACTTCTGGAGAACGTTTCCCGCTGAGAACTCGAAATCGCCAATTTTGAATTTATGCCGTAAATTATTAGGATTTCTTGGAAAGTTTTCTCTTGGTAAATAAAGTCTCTCTTCTATGATCCGGCAGCAAGCACTACACGCTTGGATTTGTGTTCAATCAATTTTTTGTTTTGATTGTACCAATGACTAATACCTAATCAAACTCTACAACATACCTAATCTTATAAGAGTTTCGCATAACGCTGATGGCACCTAACCGAACGGACTTAACGATGGACGCATCCGATACCCCGTCCACGCCACCACCTTTTTCTATACCCACTCTGCACTTACTCGATCCGGCAACCCCTATCTTAGGTACTCCAACCCTCAATTTCCCTTTCCATTCTCTCAATCCTACTCTACCCATTCACTTTCTATTCTTCGTCTCACCTCTTCAGCGCTTCCAGTGCTTTTCTGTGATTCGCGAGCACTGTTTATACAATTCTACCATTTCTTATGGTAGAGGATTAGTAATATTGGGTCCCTCTATAATCTTGATTATGTTATTCTTCGTGAAACACTCTATGCAAAAATGTTTTCTGTTTTCATTGTAAAGTATCATTATTATTGACTTCCTCAATAATTCTGAGCATAATACCTATATTATTAATTTCTTTACTTTACATCTCATCTTCTTTCATAGTTTGTAAAATCCTCTTGGCCATCGACAGGATATATTCCCTGCCTAGATTAGCCCACTCTTTTTAGATTAGGTAACCAGTGAGGGGTCCACAAAGCGGACCTACAGGGCGCGATGTGCCCTCGGGGGATGGGGTCGCGTTGCGGCTAGGGGGCGTAGCCCCCTAGTTTACAAATAAATGTATACTTTTTAAGATGAGCTAGCGAACAATGTTTCTTGTTAGGTATTTGCCTTAATTCGCAAGTTCCTTCTATATTTTCAGGGTGAGCCAGGACAGCCTGGCCTCCCAGGGCCAATGGGATATGCCGGAGAACCAGGAATGCAGGTAAAATTTATTCTTGATTTATTATTTTACAAAACATGAAAATTGTTTTACCATGTCTGTATGCTCCCTTGCTCCTTATAAAATTCTCTGTTGCCCTATCGGTCATTGTGTGACTACAAGTCATACCATCGGTCCCCATGAGTCAGATCCCATTAGTTTTCACGAGATTTCCATGAGATTTAGTGGAAACCTCATCAGACACTTTCTTAGATGACTGGCCAGGCCAATCAGTCCTTATACCAGAAACAACAGAAACAAAAAGAGAACTTTCACTGGTATATTCAGATAATAGTAAATACTTTACATTTAGAGACTTCGGCTTTTAATTTTTTTTTTTTTTTTTTTGGAAGGCATGCGATAAAGAAGGGAGGGAAAAAAATGGCCTTAGTTAATACTCACAGCTACTAACACATTAAATGAGATTTGGGTAGACTTCAGCTACCTAATGGGAGAAAATATGGGGAAGGCCGTATAACTCAATCATTTTACTTATGATCTTTTCGTTTGGGATTTGATTTTTTGGGTAGAAGTAAGTCACACCAACCACGAAAAAATCCACAGGAGATATGAATGACAATAAACCTTTTTTCCAACGTGCTAAACAGTGAAAATTTCATTCTGGTAACGAGTAACTGCGGGACAGTCAACGTGTCTGATCGATATGTAAATAAACCAGTGCTTTCTGCGAGCTTAATCTCATTTTAATTTAAGTCTCGTCGGTATACATTGTTTGATCAAATATGAAACGAAACACCAGAAAAAAGACATTATAATTTTGTATGGAGCTTGAAGTGTAACGCATGGCCATTCCAGTGACGCATTTAGTTTTACTTTGTGGCCACTCAGGTCGTAGTGCCCGAGCACGGAGTGGGACCTGAATTAGAGCCGAAGTATAAATTGATTCAATAAGGGCTTGGTGCATCTGCGTGTAGGCATCCCTCGTTTTAATCATAAGCTCAATCAAATCTCTGATTTTTGGAGTGTCTCACTAATTCATGTCGTTCTGGTTATACTGTTATCTCCTTGAAATATTTGGTAGAATGTGTGATTTAATATTTTTTTCTTACAGCTGCGGATGTACTCTAGACCTATCCTCCATGAGCCAACTTGTTAGAAGCCAAAATTCTGGCCAAAAATTGGGAAACGGGTCAATTTTTACTAGACTTGGGTAGCTTACGTATTTTGGGTCTCTGAACGCGAGCGAATATGCATTATTTTTTTTTCAAATCCAAAATGGCGGCGGCCAAAATTAGGCCAATTAGGAGCAAAATTGGAATGGAAGCTAAGTAAAAAAGACTATCATATTGATTCTCGATTTTCCACATAGCATTGCTTTAAGCTGTTAAGCACGAGTGTGGATGAATTTCTCTCAAAATTTGGGATCCAATATGGTGGCAGCTCAAATAAGCGTAAGCAATGAACGTTTACAGAGGCTCAGAAAATTGGGTTATGACATTGGAAAGCAGTATTCCTTGGCATTTCTCGTTGATAAACATGCAAATTTATGGATTTCTTTTAAAATTTCAAATCCATGATGGTGGCAGCTCAACCCTGCTAAAAGTGTTACATAAAAAATGGCATGTAAATGGACGATTTACATCAGGTTTGGCATGGAAATAGCCAACTTACATGAGACTGGCATGGAAATCTTGACTATTTCCATCCAACAAGCATGTAAATTAAGTAATTAACACGCAACGTGAAAACCATACAGCATGGAAATGAATGGTTCACATGCAAGTTGGATGAAAATGTTTTAGTTTCAACACCGATCGCATCTACATATATATGTATATACAGGGTGATCCAAAAGTCCCTTCCACCCCCTCTAACTTTTTACCTAATTGAGATAAAAATTTGAAACTTGGGGGATATTCCTAAGTCAAAGGGAGCTACTTTTTGGCCCCCTAAAATTTTCAGGGGGGCCCCCTTGGGGGGGGCAACGGCCCCCAACTTGCAATTTTCAAATAGGAAGACCCCCTTTGTGATAGCTCGTTCGAAAGAGCATAAAAAAAGAAAACTTTTCGCGAAAACCCGAAGTCAATATCTTAAACCGTTTCAAAATGGCGGCCGGTTAAAGTTCAAAATGGCCGAAATTTCACACCGGTTATTTTTCGATGGATTTGCGCGAAAATCGGCATGCAGGGGTATTTTGACACGAGAAAAACGAATTTGACGTTAGATTTTCAAAAAAACCGAAATTTCCAAAATGGCCGCCGGTTAAAGTTTAAAATGGCCGAAAATTTTCACTTTGGTTTTTTCCTGATGGATTTGCCTAAAACTTGGAATTTGAGAGTATTTTGGCATAAGATAACCAAATTTGAACTTAGATTTATAAAAAAATAATTTTTTGGTCCTTTTGAACTTTAACCGGCGGCCATTTTGGAAATTTCGGTTTTTTTGAAAATCTAACGTCAAATTCGTTTTTCTCGTGTCAAAATACCCCTGCATACCGATTTTCGCGCAAATCCATCGACAAATAACCGGTGTGAAATTTCGGCCATTTGAACTTTAACCGGCCGCCATTTTGAAACGGTTTAAGATATTGACTTCGGGTTTTCGCGAAAAGTTTTCTTTTTTTATGCTCTTTCGAACGAGCTATCACAAAGGGGGTCTTTCTATTTGAAAATTTAAAGTTGGGGGCCGTTGCCCCCCCCTCCCCCTCAAGGGGGGCCCCCCTGAAAATTTTAGGGGGGCCAAAAAGTAGCTCCCGTTGACCTAGGAATATCCCCCAAGTTTCAAATCTTAATCTCAATTAGGTAAAAAGTTAGAGGGGGTGGAAGGGACTTGTGGATCACCCTGTATAATCATTTACTATACTACACGAAATACTAGACTATACTTTTATATTTTACTTACTATACTTTTACATATTAACACTAAGTACTTTAGCTTATCATTCATCTTTGTAAAATCTCTTGTTATCTATCAAATAAATAATTTCTCTTGATAAAAAAAAAAAAAAAAAAAAAAAAAAAAAAAAAAAAAAAAAAAAAAACGATCGCATGGAAACATAGCTGGTGCCTCCCAATCGCATGCATGGAATAACCTGGAAGGCGACAGGCAATGTGGAACTAGCCACTACCTGACGTCATCAAGGTCTGCATGATATTTCCATGCCAAAATTTCTTATGGAAAAAGTTTACATGCCAAATTTTTTTCATGGAAAAATTTCCATCCGAATTTTCCATGAAACTGTATTTACATGCAAAAGTCAGCATGTAACCTTTTTAACAGGGAAACCAAGTATAAAAAAATGGATTTATAATTGAATCGCAGAAATAGGTGTAGGCAAAGGCTATCATTCAATGTTCATATAAAGTTAGATTCCAAACGCTACCTACCGCTAGTCTTTTGAAATAAATATGAATGCGATGTAAATAGTCAGCGAAGGCATTGATTTTGTTTAAAGTAAAAGAAGAGATCTCTTGTTTTAAAGAAATGCGGAAAACACATTTTTTGGGCACTTAATTTTTTTCTGGGAAATTTGAATTCCCAAAACTGTGGCCATTTACAGCCTCAGCAGTAAAACCAAGGTGAAAGAAGCCCGTAGTAAAAGCCTGAATAATATAATTTTCCCATACTTTTAGCATGCTCCGGCAGTATGACCATTTAACCCTTGAACGATCTGCATCGCACACAATTAGCAATCTTTGGCGATTTGCTGATTTACAAAAGAAACGTATGCATTTATTTATTGGACTGATTGCATACTGTAAAGAATTGTCAGTTGCATGTTAAATACACAAGAAAGTATTGGTTTCAATTCACGCATCTTCCTTTTTCCTAGGGAATTGCAGGAGAACCAGGCGCACCAGGTCCTAAAGGGGATGTTGGCGACTTCAGAGAGGGCCTCCCAGGAATGAAAGGAGAGGATGGAGATGACGGAGAGAGAGGCCCACCCGGACCGATCGAGAAGCCTGATGGCGCAGAGTTTACCAATGTTCCAAGTCCACTGACCTTTAAAGGACCCAAAGGTCCGAAAGGACAGCGCGGTTCCAGTGGGATTCCGGGCCGTCCAGGAATTTTAGGAGAAAAAGGACCCCAGGTAATCTACTACCACCACACCACACCACTTGACCACCACTTTCTCACCAAAAAAGTGAAGAAGAGTGAAACAAATAGGTAGTGTTACTGTAATGATTCATTAGGTTTCTGTATCAACTACTCGTCATTATTGGTCCATGAAGAGCATTCTAATTCCATCGTTTAACGACATTCATGCAACTTTTTTGTGAAGTTGTACCAATGCCTTGAATAATATGTGACGGAAAAATAACATTAGAGTACCAGCTAATTCATCCTTATTAAATTATATCATCGATGAAAGAAAAGGTCTAAATAACTTATCACGCAAATCTCGGATCATTCGGTAGAACAAAAATATTCGTTGGAGAGGAACTTTCCTGGTTGCCTGAGTAGTACATGTATTTGAACAATATTCCGAATGACTTACTGGGCTATGATTCGCTCTTACACCCCTGTAGATCCGCATTCTATTTCCTTTTTATGTGCGGTAGATAACGAAAAGGCGTGAAGGTATTCATTTTGTTTCATTGCTAACTTCTCAGATACGTTCTCAATAACTTTTGACCTTCTTCTTCTTCTTCTTCTTCTTCTTCTCCTCCTCCACCTTCCTCTTCTTCTCCATCTTTTTCTCTTCCTCTTTATGTTTTTCTTCTTCATCTTCTCCGTATTTTTTGTCCTCTTCATCTTCTCCGTATTTTTTGTCTTCTTCATCTTCTCCGTAGGGGAAGACGGGGTAATAAGAGAGACCATGGGGTAATAAGAGAGTGACACCCTTATTTGAAGAGTTGTAATTGAGTTACAAATTTGAAAAAAATAGGGCATATGCACCTATCAGTAAGTAACACTTCCTCAAAGTTTCAATGTTTTTCGTGCTTTATTTTAGCGAAAAAAAAAATGTAAATATTTTTAAAAAAAAATTTCTCTTATTGTACCCCCTGGGGTAATAGTAGAGCAGGTCTGTATCTCGTATGAAATTTTAATTGTAAGCACGGAAAAGTATATAAGATCAAGCATTACATTATTCTTAATAGCCCTGCAAAATTTGAGTGAGATCGGAATAATAGTTCTTGAGTCATGAACTTTTGACACTTGAAAATCGCTAAGTTTAAGAAATGAATTCAAAATGCAAGTTTTAGAAATTGTATCAAAACCATACCCCAAAAAAAACCCCAATCCCCCTGCCCCTGTGTGCCTGCCAATTCTCTTTAGTGTAAGGCACCCTCAGGCCCTTCTTTTTTCGGTTTCGAGTCATTTAATGTGAAAAAAAAAATCACCAACAGTTTTAGTGTTCATTCTACTATTGTACCCCTCCCTGACATAACCTCACTCTCTTATTAGCCACAGGGGTCACCGCTTGGGGCCAATAAGAGTAGAACATTATAAATCAGTAAAAAAAAAACTAATCTAAAAAACCAAGTATCAGGAAGAAGCCCCATATCCTAAGCTTCAAAATGATATATAGTTCGATTTTTTATGAAAATGTTTACTTGACTTTATGTTGATTAAAGCGCCGAGGTACCGGAACTTCGAAACACAGTTCAAAAAGAGGTTAAGTTTACACGCTGGTCCTGTCCCAGCCACTTTTCCGATTCGGCCCGGAATTAAATACGAAACGCGGCATTGGACCAAGATTCGTTCCCCACGGCGGTAGTTCTGTTATCACTCACCAGAGAGCGGCAAAATCCAATCTACCTTATTGTCCCACTCTCTTATTACCCCGTCTTCCCCTATTTTTTTTCTGCTTCTTCCTTTGACTACGTGGCACATATCCTGTTTTACATCGATGACACCGTATCAGGCACGCACCTGTACTAAAAATAATAAAATTGATAAAAGTTGATAGTATTTGATAGAAACTTTGTGTCCATCATAAAGAGTATTCGTCCAATATTGGAATAATAAAACAATTATATTCATCTTGTAAACATGAGATGAAATGAACGTTGATCACCATGTCCATCGACCTGTTCCTCCACACCATTTTATTCCAGCATCCAGCAGCGTTTGCGGCTTTTATTTCTTGGCACTGAAATTTTGCGCTCAAGTCTTCCTTGCCTGCCAAGAATATATAGTCCAGGCAAACGCGATAAAACGTTCCGTTCCATTCGTTTTGTTTCTGTCTTGGCAGGAAAGAAGCAAAATGCCAATTTCCATGGGTTATCTTGGTTACTTCTTTTTTCTATTACAAATCAAATTGTTTTTTCCGTCCTGTTTTCACGCAGGGTTTATTTGGATACGCAGGACTCAGAGGTCTGAAAGGAGAGCAAGGAATTGAAGGTCCACGAGGAAAACAAGGTCATGATGGTCTACCAGGACCCGGAGGTATGAAAGGGGAGAAAGGCTCGCCAGGTTTAGCCGGAGCGGATGGAATAGACGGTCTGAAAGTAAGTAATACAGCAATTTTATATTTCCGTGTATTTGCAGATTATGCTCTTTCAAAATGAAAGTGGTCCCTTACATAACAAAATGGGATTTATCACTTAACTTCCCCATTCGTCCGATTTAGCACAGTTTCCAATTTAGCCCGATTAATCCACTTTTGACTCAACGGTTTTCCAAATCAATCTCAATTTCCATCCATCTTTAATTCCATAACCATTTTAATTATCTTAAAATAATCCTATACTAACATCATCCATCACAAACGTTCCTCATGCATCCCCATTTAATTAACGTCTTGATTTATCTTCAGTTTATTACATCTTCATCCCAATTATTCCCGCATTATTCTGCACCCATTCGTATGTGCCCCGAGCTATCTTAATTCACTACAACCCATCTCGAATGCTCTCATTTGCAACATCATTTATACGATTAACCCCATGATATCGTATCTCGACTGATCACTGATATTTCCGTTCTGTCTCTATCATGCCCCTCAATATCTACGAAAATGAGGAGTTTCCATCTAGATGAGTATTTTGAGGAGGGTCAAGCAATCTCTTTACATTGCATAAACAGTGTTTTTGCATTAACGTAGTTCAACGTCTGATTTTATAGGGAGAACCTGGCGATGCGGGAACTGATGGCATCCCTGGACAGCAAGGTCCAGAAGGACCTCCCGGCATTTACGACCCGTTCTTAGACATCGATGGTCAAGAAGGGAATGAGGGGCCCCAAGGACCACTGGGTAACCATTAATCTTTTCAAATCGGTTTGAACCTGCTCCTAAATTAATTGACATTTTTTCATGTAATTCATACATACATAATTTTTTAATAAGGTGATTCTGATCTTACCGTATAGTAACAAAATGATATCATCATGATATCTTGAGGATATCAAAATTCCTGCATGATGACAAAATATAATATCCTCAGGATTTTCTCAAGAACATATTTTTTTCCACGCCATTAAGACAAAATCATTCGATCTCTTTCGGATATCTCACACCATTTCCTCTGGAAACGTTTTACTGTTTTTCCATGGGAACCTGGTTATGATTTCTCCACACTATCATAAAATGATGTCTTAGCCTAGTAACAAAATGATATCATCACGATATCTTGAGGGTATCAAAATTCCTGAATGATATCAAAATTTTACATCCTCAGGATATATCCTCAAGAACATATTTTTGTCTACGCCTTTGAGATACAATTCATTAGATTTCCTTCGGATATCTGAAACGATTCCCTCGGGATATCTTAAACGATTTCCTCCGGATATCTTAAACGATTTCCTCCGAACATCTCAGTTTTATGCTGTCTACAATTTGGTCCGGATTCCGAACAACTCCTCCCACAGCCTCTATGGGCATCCCAGAGTTGACTCCACTCGAATCGGTCCAGCAGATTCATGTACTACAAGCACTCACCAAAAAGAAGTTCCTAATTAAGGATATGGGTGGATTTACTTGAGACTTAATCTCAACCGTGCTTACCATTAGTCTAGCCCCCTACAAAAAGGCATCTCTTACGGAGAGTCACCTTTTCGGCACCCCACTTCACTATGCTAGTCTCAATTTTTTTATCTGAAACTACGAGGTCTGTTAGATTAGAAACCGGATTTTGGTCAAAACTAGCCTACCGTGCGTCCGAATTCGGTTTTCTTGGACTTTTCCGATAGCTGAAAATATAGGTACTTAAGAACGCTACGTTCACAAATTTGAAAAAAATCTTAATTAGCCTCGTTGGTTGGCTTGAAGTAAGGTAACCTCATGGGTGTTCTGCGATTTTTATGTTTGACCAAACTTGTCTCTCTTTTTTCCGTCTTGCACTACATTTTTCGATCCACAAGGATGATTGGAGTTTCGTCTCCGTATTGTAGCCGTACAATCACATTTCGTCATCGAAAATTATCCTATCCAAAAATGTAGGATCATTGTTAGAACGTTCAAGCAGCTAGGTATAGGGAAATTGACATTTGGTTGGATTTTTGTTCAACGGACAACAATCAAGGGGCAAGTGTACCTGAAACTCGATGCATGTCTACAACTCTACATATTCTATCAAAATTGTATGTATACAGAGCCTTCAGAAATATTATACACTGTCCAGCAAGCTCGAAACGACCATTTTCGAACACTTTCGCCCGCACTTCTTCCACGTGACAAATGTTAGTTGCCGTTGATGGTCGATTACCATGCTCCTCATCTTTGACAAACTCCTGACCAGTTTTGAATCGTTTAACCAACTCAAAACAGTGAGAACAACTCATACAATGATGTTGGTAAACTTTACTTAGCATGCCAAAAGTTTCGATTCAAGGTGTACCGAGTTTAAAACAAAATGTAATGTTAAACCTTTGCTTTGTCAGTGATCGCATTCTGAAAATCGCAGAACGCACCTGACTCACTCGTATTCAAGATGACACACTGGTCAAAGTAAACAAAATCTGTGAACGTAGCGTTCTTAAGCATATTTCCAGCTGTCGGGAAGGTCCAAGAAAACCTATTTCGGACGCACGGTAGGCTAGTTGGACCGCGTTAAACAGAAAGGAACCAAGCCACATCAGCTATTGCCAAATTTAATTGGGCAATTTAATTTTTTACATGAAAACGGTTGTGCAGATTTACGTGCAAATTTCAGTGAAAATTTTCCATGGTGCGAAGCAAATTCCTTAAAATTTTCAAAGAAATCCGAACAACCGTTCTCTCGTAAAAAATTTAATCGCCCAGTTAAACTTGGCAATAGCTGATGTGGCTTGGTTCCTTTCTGTTAAACTCGGTCCAGTTGTGACCAAAATCCGGTTTCTAATCTAACAGACCTCGTATGTTCAAAACCAGAGGAACGGTGCTTTCTTTAATTTAAGATGTGCAAATTCCTTAAAAAAACGTCGTGGTGGGGTCCAAAAGCATTAACTTTTATTTTCCTTATAAAAGAGACCGCTGAGAACCCGCCTGGCGGAAAATTCAGATACTATATATACATGGTAACTTCAAGATAATTCTAAAGTTATCTGCAGAATATCATTTGTCGATATCTTCATAAATCTATAAATCATCGATAAATTTCTAAAATTAATTTGTTTGCGATAGTTTGAAGAATTCTGTGTGAAGTGATATGTACATTATCTTTCCTGATGGTTCATCATAATATGCGATTTTAAATAGGTATCAATGAGTTATCAGTCAATGATGTCTACATTTTTTTTTTCTAAAATAACGATAAGAAATCTTGCTAAATATTCGTGGCGGGTGTTTCTAAAATGACCCGTAGACTTATTGGCGAAAAGGAGCATGTCATGAGCTAATGATAACTTCCAAATATTTCTGAATTTATCTTCAAAATATCATTAGTTAATATCTTTAAAAACAACATGAATCAATTTGGTTGATATCATAATGCGATATTCTGAAGAAGTAATCACTGCATGATACCCGAGATTTCATCACAAAGATGACTTCGTTACTCTTGCGAAGTACATCATCGGAGATTTAAAACACTGACATTTACATGGCGACCTCACTAATTACGTTCGAACAAAATCAGGAGATATCTTAGGGATATCGTTGTAAAACCCTCTTAGAATATCAGCAAGTATTGACTCAGAGAAATTATTTTTAACATCAGTGAAGAGATCTGAAAGATAAACTCCTGATTTGCCACCGAAAATCAAGGCTGACATTCAGACTGAATATTTACCGGATATCATTGAACACATACTTGAAATTTCATTGTTTAATGTCGTCTTAATTTATGTAAAAAATAAATATAAACACTCGTTTTTTAAGAACTTGAAAATGTCATAAACAATTTCAGTGTTGATATTTTGACAATTATTTTTAGAGTATTCGAAGATATCTAGTAAAGATATCAGACGATGATATCTCAAAAATATTCTGGAGACACTACTAAGATGTCCCATGGAAAATCAAAACTAATGTCTTTTTAAGGATACTTATCTTTAATATACAGGGTTATCCAAAAGTCACTGACCACCCCTGTAACTTTTTACCAAATTGAAATAGAAGTTTGAAACTTTGGCAATGTTCCTCGGTCTCAAGTAGCAACTTTTTGGTCCCCCACTTTGAACTTTGACCGGCCGCCATTTTTTCAAAAATTAACAGTTTGACCTGCGGTTTGCGCCAAAATGTTTCTTTTTTCATTATCTTTCGAATGAAGTATCACAAAGGGGGGGTTGCTACCTGAAAAAAAAGTTAGCCCCCGCCCCCGAACATTTTGGGGGGACCAAAAAGTTGCAAACTTCTATCTCCATTAGGAAAAAAGTTACAGGGGTGGTCAGTGACTTTTGGATAACCCTGTATAACTTATCAGCCGGCATGTTACTAGGGCTCTCTGGCTGCATTTTCGGGCACGATCTTGAATAAAACTTATCATCATTGAAAATCTGAGCCATAACGCATTGCGACGAAGAGAATGACGTGTTCAGTAGGTATATTTTTATTTTGGAACATGATTTTTTTCAAATGTGTGTTACGTATAATTCATTTTGGTTTGAATTCTCGGTTTTAGGTTCACCCGGTGAACCAGGACAATACGGAATTCCTGGACGTCCTGGACCAATGGGGATCAGAGGGCCTCCAGGTGAACCAGGACCCCCAGGTGTGGCCGGACAACGAGGGTTGAAAGGTCTATCAATTAAAGGAGAAAGGGGAATTGACGGTACGTTTTTCTGTAACTATCTTTGGGCTAAAATGTATTTCATTCACTTTTTATGCACGTTGAAGGAATGTACGTAAATATCGAACTTTCTAATATTATCACAGGTAGGTACGATTGTTAGAGCAAAAACGAGTTTTTTTTAGGTACTCTGACCCAACTCTCTCAGGGGGCCGCACGGTGGATCGCTCAATGGGAGGGGTCGGCCATCGCGCGTTACGCATCTCATTTTCTCTGATTACAGAGATTTTCCGCCCTTAGAACAGAGCAAATTACCCTTGCCTGGTGTATTTTTCGTCGTAGATTCCATAAAGAAGAATTTTGCAAAACTTGACTCAAAGGCATTACTTGAAGAGTAAAGGAGGGCGGCTTCTTAGGCCCTTCACCACGAAGGTTGCCATATTTCTTTCAATTTCTGCTAACATCGTTTTTTGTTCATGTTAATTGGTTTCTCGCAATTGCATACTGACACATATACGGAACATTCTGATAATGTTCATTTTTCTTCTCTTTCCCTCCAGCCAGGCAATAGACGTTTTCATTTTTATGAACCCCCTACTTTTTAATTTATTCGACAAATATGCATATTTCAAAAAATAGATCAATATATTAAAGAAATAAAAAATCGAGATGTATTTACCTTAGCTTCTTTTTATCGAGTCATCCTAGAAGATTATTGTAGGTACTTCCCACAAGATATAAAAAATTGAATTTGTAGAAAGAAAAAAAAAAGAAAAAAACATGTTTTATCATCATTCCAACATTTTGTTTTGCTCCTCAAAGTTTGGAGTGAGGTTTGAAACATTTTTATTGAAAAAATATTAAAATAGGAGGGACTTTATTTTTCAAGCAAGTTCTACAGGCTGATTATTTTCCGCGTCGATATTCGAGTCGATAAGTTAGCGACTCACGGATAACGACTGAATTCTAACGACGTCCTTTAGCCGAGTGATTATTTACATCGAATTCCGCTGATCGTTAATCATCGTTCGATAACTTCCTGTCGTTAAGTTAGCTATCTGGATCCCAACGTTGCCGACGTGAGAGATAATAATCAACCAATCAGAGAGCGTTTAAGATACAAGCAGCGCTCCAACTGCGCGGCGGCGTATGTTGAAAACAACACAACTCTTTTCTTGACGTCACGCGAGTATGTTTTTAGGTTAGGTTAGCTTGCCGCCAGTCGTTAGCTTAGAGGTTGCCGTAGAGCAACCTTTAACTTATCGACGGACTCAAATATCCCGCCACGGTTTAATGATCGGCGCGGAGTGAAATAATCGCTCGATTATACTTTTGCCGCTAACGACGGCGCACTATGGTCCACAGACCCTATTTAACGGAACTTTAGTCAAATTTTGAAGGTGGAAAAAATTAAAGTTTGGCACTACAGTTTTATCATACATACTCCCATGGATCGTCACCTAAGTTTTCATCGACTAATAATGATTATAAGATTGTGACGGACCCTAACAACAGAGCGCGCGACAGGTCTTCATTAGCTGATTGTGGGCCGCATTCGGTGGTGCGTTACAAGGTGTTTATTTTACCGAGTTACGCATCATCTATGTAAATTTTTGGGCAACATGGTTCCACCTGGTGGCAAGTGACTTCCTTTTCACCCAGTCTCATTAATTTTGAACTGAAATTTGTATGCTTTTTAATGCTGCAAACATACGCCAAAAAATGATACAAATCAGTGAAATTCGTAATTTTTAGGAAGCTCCAACTTTTTTTTAATTCTAGTTAATGCTTTGCGGATTGAAAAATCTTGTTCCACATATCCTTCAGTTTAAATTGAGGCCAATTTAAATGTAACCTTTTGTCGCCTAATGGTCGAAATGAATTTTTTTCGGAGTGCACCTCCGTGCATTAAAATGTGGAATATTCCATGCATTTTTGGCGTTTTTGCGACTGTTAAATTTTTTATCGGTACAAAATAAAAGTATTCCGATATATTTTGATCTACTGAGTCCGAAAATGACCTTGGTTTTTTCTTATAACTTCTCACTTTTCCGATAAAGCTACTTTTTCCCGGGAAAATGAGCAAATTTGACGTATTTTTGCCATAATTGTAATTCATATTGATAAATTATACTGGAACCGCGGTAAAGAGATTCTGTTATGTATCTTAAGCTGCTAAATCCGAATATGACCTAGGTTTTTGATTATCACCCTCCAGTTCTCCGATAATGCCGATTTTCCCGAGCCTTTTGGGTAAAACCTTTTCCGGACTCAAAGTGTGTTAAAAATACATTTTAAAAAAGATTTCGATGTGTGATGTATCGATTCTTATGCATTTTGACTTGCTAAACCCGAATATGACCTTAGATTTTTCCTATCACCCCTCATTATCCCGGAAAATTCAATTTTCCTTGGAGAACGAGCTTTTCCGGGTAAAATCGGCTTTTCCGAAAAATTGGTAACGGTAATGGACAAAAACGGAGGTCATATTCGGATTTACCGCCTAAAAATACGTAAGAATAACCTGATCTCGACCGAGAGACATTTTTGTCATTATTTTTATACATGTCAAAATAGGGTGGAAAAAATCTTCAATCTTAAAAGCGCCAGAAATTACATTTGAAGTTAAGTTTCTCGGTCAGGATGTTAATATTTTGTTAAACTAAGCTGTAAAATGAAATCAGCGACCCAAAAATCATAAGATCCAACACCTTTTATGACGTTGCAGTGTATTTTCGCCTAAAGTTCCGTTAAATCCAGTCTGTGGACCATAGTGCGGCGTTAACGTAACGATTTCAATATCGACGCGGAAAATAATCAGCCTGCTGAACCATAGTGCGGCGTTAACGTAACGATTTCAATATCGACGCGGAAAATAATCAGCCTGCTGATCCCTTCTAGAACCTCTGAGAAGGACCATAATATCTCTTGAAAAAATGTCTTGTATTTCTTCTTTTTCAACCCACAACCGATTTTTTATTTGTATGGAGCTCATAGAAGAGTTCTAGATTTGAAGACTTTTTACAAGAAACGGGACATGTGAAATATACAATGCGCAAAACATACACCTGAAACCTCATCGCATAGTATAACACTGATCAAATTAGCTTCATAGACTAACAGTTGGTTAATGTCTCGTCAAAATATCAACAAATCAGCCAAAATCAGTAATCAGCAGAAAAATAACCGAGATTGAAGGATATCGTGTGATGCACGATTTTATTGATGACATTAGAACAAGATCGGATTCCCCAGCAGGCGCGACTTCCTATCATTTAAATGAACCGTTTTCGCAGATCTGCGGTTATTAGCGGCTAATTACCTATTACATAATATCATTCCTGATAGTGTACAAGAAGCGGTGGCAAGTCATTTTTCCCAAAACTTTTTTTCCTATTGCAATTTTTCCTAACACTTTTGTCCTACCTACTCGTTTTTTGTCCCATCACAGTTAGTCCTACGAGTGAGATGTCCTACTGGCTTTTTTCCTAGGGGCATTTGTCCTAAATTCAATTTTAAAATTAGGGGATCGAGAAAGTAAAAAAAACAACATAGGTACCTCACGAGTTAAAAGTTGTGGCCGCATGCCCGTAAGTGGTGGAGCTTCATCCTCCTCCTTATATTGAGGGTAGGTATAGAAGGCTCAGCTTGTGATGTCTCCTGTTCACGCGCCTATATTCGGCTCGCTGAGAAAACTTTACTCTTTCTGAAAAATTTCCCTCTACTCTACTCATGTTTACGTTTCAATTATTATTGGATTATTAGGACAAACACCCTTAGGAAAAAAGCCAGTGGGACATCTCACTTGTAGGACTTACTGTAATGGGACAAAAAACGAGTAAGACAAAAGTATTAGGAAAACCTGATGTAGGAAAAATGACCTAGCACCCAAGAAGCAACCCATCAAAGGATTTTGCGGACTTTTGTGAACATTTTTTTATCGAGCTATCTTAACATTTTTCTGGGCGTTTTTTAAAGCAAGTTTTGGGGGTGGTTTTGGTCCTCCTAAAAATATGCCGATACACATCATATACCTTAATGTTCCTTGAAAGGAGGAGAATAAGCTTGTTTAATTGAAATTTTGATTAATCTGCCACAGAACTCATGCAAAAGTGAAATAAAAACTTAAGAATCAGACGGCAAATTTGATTACACCTGCAATGTCAACTTTTGGCAACCCGCATGTCAAAGAGGAAGGGTTCAAAGACCCTTGAACCATGGATTTTGTTGGCTTAGGTACTAGAAAACCAAGAAAACATATTTAAAATCCGACTTTTTTTTTTCGTCGCCCATGACCGACCTCTACTATTGACTCGATCCACTGTGGGCCGTCGTCCCAACTCTTTCAGAGAGGGTGCGAGAGTTCGGACAGTTTTAATTTTTATTCCATTCCATTTTTAGCAAAGCTTCTATTCGTCCCATTGGGACCAAACTTCACAGAACAAAGCATGAGAGTGTACAAAAGAAGAGAATATTTTTAGTTTTGTGGTATAATGAAAATTTCGTGTGCTTTGGGGGAAAATGTAAAGAGTGTCCTAACTCTCCTACACTTCCACTAAAGTCTTATATTTTTAAGCATGACGGTAATTTGTAAATTTTTTTTTGTATGAACAAGTTCAGGGTCATCATTCCTTTCAATGTGGAAGTTACGTTTCTAATCGTATTGCCCTTTGTTGTTCATAACTCATTGTTACATGACTAATGCTGTTATCGTGCAATTACCCTCGTGAATATAGAGTCAGCGCATATTGAGGTGGGCTCATTGTCTGATTGTGATCTGCTAATATGTGGTCCTTAGAGACCCCGGCGTGACCCGCTGACCCCAGCGAAGTATTCAAGTGCAACTACCAAAGCTGTACGCTCTTACCCTCTTAGTCTTGCTTTGAAACTCATCACAGGCTAGTTTGTTACTTTAATTCAAATATTTTCTTTCTCTCGACTGTGATTTTTCCTCGAAATAGTACGAACCTATGGACCAAGCTCTGTGCCATCCTCCCAAGTAGCATAGATTGCAATTGGGTAAGTGCAATTAGGTGGTCAAATTATTGCTACTGGGTTGGCGTGTTGTGTATGCTGCCTACGTAGGTACTGATCGAAGGGACATTCCAAATTGAAATTTATTGCACTAAAATTTAAGTAAGTCACAATTTTTCATCGCATTGCATGTTACGTATCTTCCTGACATGTAGAACTCATTTTGTAGATTGTTTAAAATCGACATTTAAGTTTGGATCAAATGATGTAAAAACATTGCTATTTCATGATAAAATAATTGCAATTTTAATAAATCCTAATTTTAATTCTCTATTTTCGTTGCACTGTGCTACTTGGAGCTTCCGCATACTCTCTCTTTTATCACTTTCACTTTTTAAGGCATTATTTCTTGTCGTGAGCTTCTGCAAAAATTCTTTCGTTGAATGCGGCGACAACATTTTGGTGTCAGAATCATCTCGCAAGCCCTTTATTCGTACCACCGACTAACAAATAAAGCGATTGGAAGAATATTGTTAGTTTTTATTTTAATTTTGATTAATTCATTTTTTAAAATTTCAGGTTTACCTGGTGGTTCTGGCCCCATCGGAGAACCAGGAGTACCAGGTTCAGAAGGGTTATCTGGTGAAAGAGGACTTCCTGGTTTGACAATAATAGGACCTCCCGGAGAGGACGGTCGAGCTGGCTTGGATGGATTCAAAGGTCCTCGTGGAGATCGAGGAGATACAGGTTTTAAAGGTGAGACCTCTCTCTTTGCCGGGTATACGTAGTATACCGCCTTTGCGATCGTTTTGATCCCCTGTTCGGTGCAATGTATCGAGTGCCTGAGTTCCTTGCCGAAAAAAGACTGGTGGGTTCGTTCTGAATCTTTGAAAGTTTGTAAGAAAGTTATTCATGCTTCAATATTTTAGGTTGATTGATCTTCGTCACAGATTGTAATTTCTTATCGTGAATTCCTCTGGTAAAAATTGGCAATAGGAGCTGCGTTTCAAAATACTATAAGAAACCTTGCAGCCGGCTATAGAAGGCGATAGGATATGATATAGCTGGCTGTAGAGAGCGAAGAATATCATACAGCCGGGCTATACGAAGCGATAAAAAATTATACAGCCTATCGCCTAAAGCTAAAGCTCCTGTCACCGGGCGAAGCAGTTTATTGCCTGGCTGTAGCTTTATCGCCATTGTCTAGGAATAAGAAATTGTAGAGGCGGCCATATCAGCTATAGGAGGCTATTACAGCCAGCTGTAGGTCTATAGTATTTTGGAATACAGATCCTACTGCCAAGTTTTACCAGGGCTCAGGTAAAATACAGGGTTATCCAAAAGTCACTGACCACCCCTGTAACTTTTTTCCAAATTGAGATAGAAGTTTGAAACTTTGGGAATGTTCCTCGGTCTAAAGTAGCAACTTTTTGGTCCCCCAAAATTTTGGGGGGCGGCCCCCCTTAAGGGGGGCGGGGGCTAACTTTTTTTTCCAATGGCAAGCCCCTTTTGTGATACCTCATTCGAAAGATAATAAAAAAAAGGCAATTTTGGGCGCAAACCGCAGGTCAAAATGTTCATTTTTGACAAAATGGCGGCCGGTCAAAGTTCTACATGGCGGAAATTTGGCATCTCCGTTATTTATTGACGGACTAGCGAAATGCCCGTGACTGGAGTCACGGGTCTAGAGGCCGCTAAAATACCTATAACCCCGAAAAATGGTGGTAGGGAAGCAAGACATGCCATAAAAAAAAAAATGATAAAATCTATGGAAAAATGAGTTGAGGGGAGAGGGTGATGAAGCTAGAAAAATGAGCTGGGGGGAGATAGAATAAATGCTGGCTAAAAAATTAAAACTAACCTAGCAATAATTTATTAAAAAAAAACAATTGAGATAAAACATCAGCTGATAGCAAGCAAAGGTTACCAAGGAAACCAAGGAATGAAACTTTCATAAAAACAGATTAGTGGAAAACAGCGTAAGTAAGGCACTTACGTTAATTACCGTTTATAAGTAAACGGTAAGTGCGATTTAATAAGAAAATCTATACAGTTCTTTATAAGACCAAAATGGACAAAATTACAACATTTGAATAGGCTAACGTAAATCTAACGATAGTTATCGTGAACGAAAGAATTGACGACATAAGTCGGGTAACTATTATAGGTGATAGGTGATGATGATTGGTGTGAAACTCGAAATCCTAGGGTTTTTTGAGATGAGAAAAACGATTCTGGCATTGATTTTCCAGAAAAGTCAGTCCTTTTCAAAATGGCGGCGGTCAAAATGGCAGCCTCGAGCGGAAAGTGGATATTTAGGCTGCATATCGTTAGATTTGCATGAAACTTGGTATCTGAGGGTATTTCGGCACGAGAAGAACGAATCTTTCATTGGATATCTGAAATTTTGACAAATGGCGGAAAGAGGGTTATGCAAAACGGCCAAAAAGTGACCCCGCGGGGATTGTACGAAACTTTGTGGGATGATTGTATAGGTCATTTTGGGCCTGCATCTGGCTGCTTTTAGGCGAAAACCGCAGGGAAACAGCGTTGCCATTTTTTAAAGTCGTAACCTTCAAACACCCATAATTTTCGCAAAAATGCAGTTACAGAGCTCGTATTTATACCAAAAAATGCGGAAAATTTTGTTCTATCGACCAACGCAAAGCCGCCGCTACTTGAATTTCTAAAAATGACGTGAAAGTTTCAAAAAAGCGTAAAACATGAACTGGTTCACCAGTAGTAACCCAAGCAAGTATTTTCTTTGGCAGCCTCTCTGCCGTCATCCACTTAACATAATCATACCAGGCAAGCTTTTAGGTCATGTTTAGTTCGCTGATGTATTAAAACTTCTATTTTTAGGTCCTAAAGGTGTGCCAGGTATTGGAATAAACATTCGCGGACCACCCGGTGAGCCCGGATTGCCTGGATTTCCCGGTACGCCTGGTCAGCCAGGGAAAAAAGGACTGCCTGGAATTGATGGACTAAACGGTGTAAGAGGAGAAGATTGCGGAGTGTGCCCACCAGGTACCTAACTCAAACCTCTGATGATGGCTGCTGCACACTGAACTTTTCGTAATTATCAGGATTTTCTCTATTGAAAGTTCGCAGAAAAGAATAGAATGCTGTAGTTTCCGACGTACTTAGATCCAACTTACCATAGTAATCGAACAGCTTCATGAACTAAAACTTATGATTTTACGTATCTTAAGAGAATCACTCCGGTTATGGAGTGAAATACCCTAGTAGCAGAACCACAGAAGGAAAAGATAAACATTATGTACGAAAGTTAATTTTTTTCTATAATGCATGCATACAAAAGTGTTAAAATTGAACATTTTTATGTAACCATTATGTAAAAAAATTTTATAATTTTCGTGAGCTTTTCGTGAACATACTAAAAATTCTTTTAATTCGCGAAAAGCTCACGAAAATGATGACCTATTTTTTATATATTTGATCGTTACACAAAAATGTTCACTTTTAACACTTTCGTATATGTGCGTTATTGAAAAAATAAAAAATGTGTGTATAAAAAAATTACCTTATCTAGCTTTTATCATTTTTCATATATTACGGTCAGATTTGAACTTTGATTTTTTTTTATACAGGGTGTTTCAGACCACCCGTACCAGGCCTTTTTCTCGGTTGGTATAGGTCGTACGAAGTCGGAGATCGCGGGGTTGAATAGGGAATTGACCCCAAGGAATCCGAATTTCGTGGTCCCGAAACCCCCCCACCCCCCCTTGGGGGGTAAAGGGGGGGTCACGATGCTAAAAGTCACGGTTCCCGACCGAATTGCGGATAGATCGCATCAGAATTGAAAAGCACGGAAAATTTCACGTGGAATTGACCCCTAAAAATCCAAAATCGGACCATCCAAGGCCCAAAAATGACCCCCTAAAGAGGGGGACAGTACCCCCCTCCATAATTTCTCTTTGGTCTCAAAATTGACGTAAATTCTCCAGAAAAAGACGGTTTCCCAGGTAATCGACCTCGAGAAATCCAAATTTCATGGTCCCGAAGCTCCTCTAGCTCCCCTTGGGGGTTAAACGGGGGGGCCCAATTTTAAAAATCGGGGCTCCTTTCCGAATCGCAAATTGATTGCATCCAAATTGAGGAGCAGAACACATTTACATCTTAAGTGACTCCTAAGAGTTCTAATTGACCCCCCTGAACGGCAGAAAGTAACCCCTGAGGAAGGGGGCCTCGCCCCCGCCAAAAATTTCTCAGGATTCCTCTTTGGTCGCAAAATTGACGTCGATTCTCCAGAAAAAGACGGTTTCCCATGTAATCGACCCCGAGGACTCTAAATTTCATGTTCCCTGAGCTCTTCGGGGTCGATTACATGGGAAACCGTCTTTCTCTGGAGAATCGACGTCAATTTTGCGACCAAAGAGGAATCCTGAGAAATTTTTGGCGGGGGCGAGGCCCCCTTCCCCAGGGGTTACTTTCAGCCGTTCAGGGGGGTCAATTAGAACTCTTAGGAGTCACTTAAGATGTAAATGTGTTTTGCTCCTCAATTTGGATGCAATCAATTTGCGATTCGGAAAGGAGCCCCGATTTTTAAAATTGAGCCCCCCCGTTTAACCCCCAAGGAGAGCTGGAGGAGCTTCAGGACCATGAAATTTGGATTTCTCGAGGTCAATTACCTGGGAAATCGTCTTTTTCTGGAGAATTTACGTCAATTTTGAGACCAAAGAGAAATTATGGAGGGGGGTACTGTCCCCCTCTTTAGGGGATAAAATTTGGGCCTTGGATGGTCCGATTTCTGATTTTTAGGGGTCAATTCCACGTGAAATTGTCCGTGCTTTTCAATTCTGATGCGATCTATCCGCAATTCGGTCGGGAACCGTGACTTTTAGCATCGTAACCCCCCGTTTACCCCCCAAGGGGGGGTGGG